TTGTGCAAACCACTGCTGACCAAAAAGAACTCAAAGGCTTGTTTTGCATTTGCCAAAAACACCTAGATGACCCCCAAAACCTTTGGAATAATATTCTGTGGACTGATAAGTCAAAGGTGGAACTTTCTGTTTCAGATGAGTCTCATTACATCTGATGTAAAGCTAACACTGCATTCCACCATAAGAACATCAAACCAACAGTCAAACATGGTGGTGGTAGTGTGATGGTCTGAGGCTCCTTTGCTTCTGCTGGACCTGGACGACTTGTCATAATTGATGGAACCATGAATTCTGTTCCCTATCAGAAAATCCTGAAGGAGAACGTCCTGAAGGAGAACGTCTGCTCAAAAACCCTCTAGTGTAGCTGAATTAAAACAATTCTGCAAAGACGAGTTGGCCAGAATTCCTCCACAGCGATGAAAGACTCATCTCAAGGTATCGCAAACGTTTGATTGCAGTTGTTACTGCCAGGGGTAGCACAATCAGTTATTAGGTTCAGGGGCAATTACTTTTTCTCATGGGTGATGTAGGTTTTGAGTAAATTTTTATCTCAATAAATGGAGTGATCATTTAAAAGCTGCATTTTGTGTTTACTCATGTTGTCTTTATCTTATATTAAAAATAGTTGGATGATCTGAAACATTTACATATAAAAAATTGGCAAAAATAGAAGGAAATGGGTGAGAGGCAAACACTTTTTCACAGCACTGTACATTAAACGTTCAAGACATTTTTGTTTTCTACTGTAAAGTAAATATTTTGGAGATGCTTGTCTGAATTTTCTAGAAAAAAATGTAAGCTTTGGAAAAAAATGTGTGGCTGACACCAAACTTTTCAATGAAACCTACAAAACTTAAAATTAAGCTATTTTCAAATGAAGCACTTAAGACAAGCATCTAAAAATAGACCATCATACTCAACTTCTCACTCTACCACCCCACAGGAAGAAATACACAACAACATCACATCACACAATGTGAGCGTGCTATTTGAGGATAGATTTGTTACAGGATTGGGTTGGATTTATTCCTAGTTTCCCTCCAATGTCTGATTCAGTACTTTCTGCCGAATAAGCTTTGTATTGATACCTGGTTTCAGATGGGTGCCATGTCTTGTTATTTTGTAGTTGTCTTCATCGTTCCTCCACAGTGTGAGAAAAAAGAATAAAAAAATGAGAAAAAACCTTGTGTCTAAACTTTTGACTGGCACCGAACATCATCATTCAGAAATATGAAAGCAGTTGCGTTGTGTTTAGTGCTCAGAATATTCATGGTAATTTTGAGTGTAATTTAAACACCCCCTTTTTGAAGCTAAAGGAAGTAGTTCATTAGGATGTTATTACATTACATATTATATTCTGTAGTCATACTTTACATGAATAATTCATCCGATCTAAGCACATTCTGTGAATCATGGCCAATACGCATTATGCAACAATAATTGAGAGGTAGGCCTTGTTTTTAAACTGTAGAATTAAATTTCCATTTTAACCATAAAATGTTATGTCTACTCTATAGCCATTGCTTAACAGGGCATCTCAGGTCTTGGGTTCAGTTTGAGCAGTTCAGGTAAGCTAAGTTCTGAGAGAAGCAGGTAGATGAACTTCCAGGAATTCTAAACAGTCAGCGGGTCTGTGTGGAATCTGAAATGCGTCAGAGTGCAGTTTTTGGAGGAAAACTGTAACCATAGCAATAGAGGGCAATGAATCATTTCAGGCAGTGGATTGATTGTGGGAATGCTTACACTTGATGTGTCATTTTTGAAGGAGCGTAACACATCAAAACATGTGATTCCTTACTTTGACCTCAGTTTGGAGAAATTTTGCCAGTTTTTTGGTTTCAGAAGGATGCAAATTCAAAAAAGTTTTCCTTTTCCAATGGACACACATATTGCTTACATCAGGGGTGTCCAATCTTATCTGCAAAGGGCCAGTGTGGCTGAAGGTTGTTTAGAATGAAAACCTGCAGCTACACCAGCCCTTTGTGGATAAGATTAGACACCCTTGGCTTGCATGATGTCAATTAAACGGCAATTCCACCCATTTTTTTTAAAAAAGTCTGCATAATTCAGTTGTTGATTTGTAACAAATTCATTTAGAGTGGTTTGATGCAACTTTTCTTTACAGGGGTAGCAATGTCAAAACACAAATATAGCCCTTTTATTTACTATCCAAAAACACAAGAGAACCTACATGTGTTCTGTTTTTACAAGGAATGTTGATAACAATAAAATAGTAGAAAATCTGGAAAAAAAGGTTTTCTATGAATACTATTTTGTCCTGCACGCTTTTAAGGATAAAACAGCATACATTTTAGGCCTAAAGTTTCTCTCTGAAATACTATAAAACAGTGTCACATTCCTAACCATTTAATACCTTTCTGCGAGGGAGCCTTTAAAGGCATTGAACTTTTCAGATGTCTGGTTCCTATCACCACCACTGTGAACAGTTCTGATGTTAAGTTTCTCTAGAATGGAGCATTTCACATCGAACCACTCCGAACGATTTTGTTTACTTCTTAAGCACAAAACATTGAAAAATTAGTGCGCAAAAATGTTAAACCATGAGCAGTTCCAATAGTTTTGAGAATGTTAAAACTACAAAGATTAGCTTTATGCAGGTTTAGGCAATGCCAGGAGTTACATCCAGCCCTTGGATGTTTGTTGTTATGAAGGATTGGCAGTGTTTGCTGGAATAATCAGCAGAAAATAATAGGAAACTGAACTAGTGCTCCATTGGGAGGCCATGAAGACTCATGTATATTTAAGATGATGGCTGTAAAATTGACACTTGACTTATCAGTCGTCTAGAAAGTCATGGTTATTGACAGCATGATTGTTTATGTGATTAATCAGCATAAGAGTATTTTAAAGAAGTGAACTGCTGTGATGCTTTCAAATGTATAATACATACACCGTGATTCCAGATCAAAGGGATCCAGAAAAGGACTTTCGCAACAAGAAATAGTAAAAAGAAAAAGAAAAAAAAAAATCTGTGCACTTCCACATTAGTGTTGGTCCCCACTAATGTGCCACATATTATCATCCCCTCCAGTTTCACCACAGCACGTTTGATGTCAGACTCGTATCCGTTGTTCTTTGATCATCCTGACAGGGTCCGTCCAGCTACAATTTCTTTGCATAGCATCTGTCTGTAATTACTGTTATGTGGGGTCAAAAAGGTCATAACAGTATCTCTTAATGGCTTAATGGAGTCTTGGCAGTTTCCTGGGTAACCTCTCCACACTCCATTGTAAGATAACCCACCGCTGTGGCAACATCCAATATCCCTTTTGCTTAGGGTCATGATAAGCATCTCCCTCATTTCACTGTCTTCTCCTTTCATATGTTCTCCTTTTCTAGCTTCACTATTCTTTCATGTCATCGACATCCACTACTACATATTTCTGAAATGCTTTCTGTGCCGTCTACATATTATATTAGAGGTAAACCTATAAAAACTGCACTAAATGCTGTAAGGCAACAAAATATGCATACTTTTTCATCACATTTTGGGATACAGTCTGAAATCCAGCAGAAAGCAGGTGCATCCATGGATCTTTAAGCACTATTCATGCAAGTTTTGTATGTTCTCAGCAAACCTTGGTAGAAATGCAATGTGTTTCCAAAAGTGGGTTGAGTTAGTGAATTTAGATCCCCATCGCTGTCGGGTGCTCAGTTGTGCACAAATAACTTGTAATCTCCACAGAAAAGTCCTGCTAATAGAATAGGAAGCTTTGGAGCAGCTGCACATGAGCTTAAAATCACCACACCCTATACCAACTGTTGGCTAAAGAGGTACAACTTTATAGCTTTGGGCTGTGGAGCAGCGGAACTGTGTTCTCTGGAGTGATGGTGCACCATCCAATACCTTTGGGATGAGTTATACTGTAGTTTGCGATCCAGAACTAATCAGTACATGACCTCAATAATGTTCTTGCAGTTAAATGCAATCAAACATCACAGCAATGTTCCAACATCTAGTGTGAAGCCTTCGCAGAAGACTAAGACTGTTACTGCAGCCAACACAGTATCTCCAAAATGTCTAAGTTTACAGCAAAGGGCAAAAATGTTCTTTACATTTAATGTACTTAATGTAAAATTGTTTTATTCCAAGCAATTTTGGGGCATTTCTGTTGGTCCAGTTATCACACAACGTAAAGGGTAGCTGGTGTGCTCAAATGATAATAATGAAAACTGACAGCAAAGATACACATACATATATACATACATACATACGAGCTGATTTTAACGCTGATTTCATTAATTGGAAGTCATTTTGTACTCGCTCCATTCAGCTAAACTGCTTTGAGAGCTGCTCAGCTGACAGTGGGGTTTATGGATGAGAGTCAAGCGGAGACAAATTTCCAGTCTATGTTGCAGCATAGGGTATCCCGTGGTCAGTTTTTAGTGGAAAAGGACACTTCTGCATGTGTCAGACGCGTATTCATGCATTCTCTTTGTTCTAGGCCGAGGCAAGAGAGGGGAAAGTATGGATATGAGCAAAGGGGAGGAGAGGCTTACCATGAGATAGAGAGAGTTGAGGTCCCTTTTGGAATAAGATATTCAACTAATCATTAGGTTCAGGAGTGTTTCCGTTTTGATTTACAACTTCTTGGAATGTTCCGGGACATTTTGCAAAAGGATTTTGTTTGATTTTAGCACTGTTTGATTTATATGAACCCCTTTTTATCTAACTGGCATTTCTGATTTATTCCCTGAGAGAAGAACCTTCTCCTTGTGCACATGCGCGAGACGTTTCGTTTATAAAAAATTGACAGAAATATCGAGGACAGTTAGGCAGGCAGAAGTCAGGAAGCAATCTGTCTCCATAACAGAAATGCATAAACATTAGAATCTGGTGTAAATGTTTAAGCTGGACTGTTGCATTTACCATACAACGAATACCTGAAGTGAAGTGTTTGACAGTTTTGTCCCTACTAATCCCTTCCTTATAAATGCCTGGTTACAATAGTCTCAGTTTAGAATTGCAGAAATGAAGATAATGAGTGTAAGACTGTTTAATGGAAAAAGGTAAGCATATAAGAAAGGGATGGGTAGAGAATAATATAAACATATGACAGTTCCTCCAGACCTAAGAAAAATGGTTTGAAGTGGTTCAGATCTGTCTGCCTCCCTCTCTCACACACACAAACACACACATATTCAAAGAGAGGAGGGGGAAAATATAACAATATTTGATTACAGCATTTTTTTTTATTACTTTTTAACATTATCCATGAAATCAATTTCCCTGAGATGTCATCTGATTGTACTGCAAGCACAAAGTAATCAGTAATCAAATCAAAGTAATCAAAGTCCATGTTCCCGCCCGACTCATTCTGTCAGAACACCCACTATTAAATATATCCTCGCTTCCACCAAGAACTTACCATACGAAAGACCCTATATCAGTACTATCCAGACAGAACTATATTTACTCCACAAGAACTTGCTAACCAAAGTATAGCAAAGTAAAGTATCTGCAATTTGTATCCCGATTGCACCACTTCATACCGCAGGTTGTCATCTTGGTTCAAAATAACTGTCTAGACTTAGTGAACCCCATAATCACAAGGGCATAATTAATGTCTAGATTCTGTATGGTTTGCTGTAGAGCAGTGAAACTGCGTTCTCTGGAGTGACGGAGCAACATCACCATGAATTGGAGTGGCACTTGTGATGCAAACAACATCAGCTTCTGATCTCCCTAATGCTTTTGCGGATGAATGTAATCAAATCCTCACACCAACGCTCCAACATCTAGAGTAAAGTCCTCACAATAGAGTAGAGGCTGTGGAGCTTCACTTGGCTTCACATATTGAAGAAATAAGGCAGCAAAGCATCTCTGGAATTATTTGATCTGATAATTAAAAAAAGATTAACTTTTTGTTTTTAAACAGTCTTTCCTCCTTTCCTTGGAGAATGCATCTCCATCTGATTCAGTAATTACATCTACCGGAAATAAGGATCGTGATGGTTAAAAAGCATGGTAAAAGTTCTAACTGAACAATAAAAGATTTGCCCTATTTTTGTAAGTTATTTACAAAGACAGATTCAAGGCAGTATCAGAGTATCAGGTGGTCATCAAGTATACAAAGTGCATTTCCAACTATACCCTGATGTACAATCTAGGACAGCAATGCTGTATGGGAGTGGTTCTCAGTCTGGGTTCTGGAATATCAATAGCCTGCATGTTGTAGTGTTCGCTCTGCTCTGGTAACCAGACATGCTTGTAAAGTAGTTCATTAGATGCATCAGGTGTGTTGAGACCAGGGGAAACTATAACATGCTAGGCAGAGGTATTCTATGTCCAGAATTGAGAACCACTCTTTTATATGACTTGAGTATAAATATTTCATGAATATATCAGCGATAGAGTGCCATGCTGGGGCTCTGGTACATGTACATGTAGCCATCGCAGAAAAGCCGCTTTGCCACACCTTCCATCTCTCGAGGCACCTGCGCGGCCAGCTCAGTAAGAGGCATAGTGAGGTAGCGCACCACTTCTGGGCACTCCTTAACCTGCGGGACATTGTAGCCATCTTGGTCACCTAAGAATGGAATAGAATAATGGAAAAGAACACAGTTACCACAGTCTAAAGACAGAAAAATGCATAAAACCTGGCCTGTGAAAATGTTATGGCACATTTTATGTTTTTTCAAAATTTTAAACTGTGTACTGTTTTGTGCAGAAAAAAAATCAGAACATGCAATATTCAAATCTGTTCCCTGTAGAGGATGTCTTCACTTTAAAAAAAATAAATAAATAAAAGAATAACAATAAATCAACAAACATGTAGTCTGCCAGGGGTGTTCAAACTTTTGCATACACTGTATCTTAGCAGTAAGTTTATTTTTGCCAGTAGAAAAGCACTATAACATTAGAAAAAGTACAAATGAACAAAATACAGTAAAAAGTAACATGAATTTCTTGTTTTAAAAAAAGCAGTTTATATGTTATGAGCTCATTAGCAGAACGAAAGTTTGGTTCCAGCCGTTACATAGATTAATTCAAATCCACCACCAGCACTTGACCTAATTAAGTTAAGCATTGATCAACCATACCGCGTATTGGGTGAGAACTGCAATTAATACTGGGGTGCCACAAGGAAAGTTTTGGAAAGGGTTAAGTAAACACACACATAAAATCACTAACGTATTAATGTTATTTATATTTATACTAATATAAGTGTTTGAACAAATAAACACAGGTAAATAGCTTTTTAATTGTAATTTTCTCAGGTGCCTAAAACTTTCTTTGTACTATAGATGCAGCTTGATGCAACTAGTCCTGACATCCTACCACAAACACCCTACCTGACTCTTGCTTCTGCCTGAAAGCCAAACAATGCACCCTACTCACCCATTCGATCAGCCATGCTATCAAAGAAGATCCAGTCAGCTGCTTTTGGTCCGTGTTTGATGAAGGAAACATAGTGGCTGGTCTCTATGCACAGCACAGCGAACAGCTCCAGTTTTTCTCGTGGGACGTGAGCTGGACCATCAGAACCCCTTCGGTGAAAAAATCCTTCAGGGAGGCCCAGGGCAGTGGGCTTATGGGACTGCCGGCAGGGGTGCAAATGGACCTGAGTGTGATATTCACATGCAACACAAATAAGTTCTTCCAAATTTCTTCCAAATTCAGGCTGTTCTATACTACTTTCCTTCTTCCAGAAAACCTCTGCCCCGTATGCTGCAGACTGGGGTTTAATCCACTGCCTAGGCAAGCACCCTATGCCCTATCAATTAGAGTCCTTGGGCCTAACACTACCTTCTCATGGCTGTGTAAAATGATCAAGCTGTAAGTCGTGCTGGAAAAGTATAAATGTAAATGCAAAAGTATTCCATCTCTCAGAAGTTAAGAGATTTAGGACTTTTATAAAATTACAGGTGACCAAACAATTCAAAGCACAGCGTGTGAAGAGAGATCATTTAAATCAACGAAAGACAGGCATTGATGTCACTTTTTGAAATTATGCAGGATATTTGTGTGGGCCAGCAGGATGGTTGTCGAAAAAGTACATAGCTTACAGTATTATATGTTCTATCAATATGACACCAGTCCTATTGCTTTGTCATTAAAAGCTGAAACAGAGGGCGACTGCCTGAGTGAAAATGCACCATGTGCACACTGAGCTGCGCAAAAAGAGTCTCTGTCAGTGTGCAGCAGCACTTGAAACAGGTAGCTTAACATCTAACTTTGCTACCTCTTATTTATTATGTCTACCTCCTTTTATTATGATGATTATTATAACAATGTTATATACAAATACAACATTGTGTTTTGTGTTTTAATGCTGACATTTAAAACATTATCATGAGAATACAGTAACTAAATACTTTTGTTACCTATTGTTACACATGAAATCTGCAACTTATGTGGTGCCAGCATTGTATGTAGGCTGTAGTGTCTCAATGTTGTGCCCCTCCACTTGTCAGATCAAATTTGCACCCCTGAAGAAAGGTGCGGTAACCAACCTGAGCTGAGCATGTGTCACAGAAAAGTTTGAATCCTGTATTGCTAAAAACTGGATCTCCAAAGCATTCAGTGCACTCCACATTTGCCAGCTGCCCACAGAGCACACACTGCTGAGGACCTGAAACATAAATGAACAAACATGCATACAGGACAGCCACATATTAGAAGGAGCATTGGCATGATTAGATTGCTATTAATGAAATCACAGCAGGTCTACCATTAGACAGAAGAGCAGTGATGTCCAGCTCTAGTGAGGGAATGATTTTTGAAAACATTTTAAACTTCTTCCCAGAGCGAGGCATGGTGAGGATCAGGCAAGAGGGCACCTGGAGTCACAGAAGGATAAAAATAGAAGGTGAAAGGTGGGCGAAGGTTCTTGCTGCAAAGCTCTGTTCGTGAAGTGTAAAGTAATGGTGAGAGGTTGGCAACACTGGGATTTTAGGTTGCCATATATATGTTCTTAAAGAAATGGTTCATGCAAAAGTCAAATTCACATTTTTTAAAATCTTTATTTCAATACAAGTAAATGCAGCATTTTTGTTTTCACTTTCTAATTTATGTAACAATTCACACTGAATTGCATTATTCTTGAAGAAATCAGTCTTTCATTCTTTAAAGCCAGTGTTCCCTTATCCTACATAAACCTTATCACTTAAGGTCATTCAATCTTACCATTGCTAATTTAGTGACAGCCAATTCTGGTGAAATTGAAAATAAAAAAATTTTTAAATTGAACTCTAAACAACATGGAATCACAAACTGTGGATCATGACTTATAAAGTCCCGAACTCCGTCAAGAAATGCTGAAAAAATGTATTCTGGTGTATCTAAGTGTAGTTACTGTAATACTTTAGACTAATATTTCGTACTACTTCAGACTAGTCCTTCTGGCAGCTGCAGTGATTACTTACTGACACTATATACAGATATACAGCGCCATCTACAGGACAAAGATTCACTGCTTTCCAATGACTTTACAACACCTACACAGACAAGCGACACAGTGCAAAATGTTCCACACTTTACATTGGGCTCACCTCTGCCAGTCTGAGGCCACTGTTGTAGAAAGAATGCTCCAGAAGCTGCTGAACCGTTGGTAAAACCAGAGAGGTGTTATAATCCACAAAGATTTGGTAAAAGTAACTACTTTCCACCTTCCCTCCAAATGTCTGCCTGTAAAGATCATGAAGGCAAATTAAGAGAAAGAGTTTTAATATGCAAGTAAACAGAGAGAATACAAAAACAGTTTTTGTTTCAAGTGCAAAAGAAAAGGAAAATACGACAAGAAGACAGACGGACAGACTGACAGTCATGTGATGTCCTACTTACAGTTTGAGGGGCGGCTCTAGTGACAGAATGTCTTGCATGATGAGAGTAAGAAACTCTTCTGGATCTGTGTGCAGGGGCAAGCACACAAGTTATTCTGCTGAGACTTCACCAATGAATGTATATATTTTTTTTCTGCTAAAACTGTTACTTTCTAAAAAGAATGGACCCTTATCTTTGATATTTTATGGTCTTCAATAGTTAATTAATGAAATAAGTAGTTCTTAATAATATGTTATTCTATTCTGAGTACACTGTCTATTTTTGTGGGAATTTTGTGTACTGCTTTTATGTGGGGATGGGGAGAAAATGGTCCACACTGATATATTAACCGAAGAAACAGAAAAAACATACTACAGTATAACAGAGATCATAATGTGTAATGACCAGTCATGGACAGTAACAAAGTACATTTTTTCAACTATCGGTTATTAAAGTAGCATTTCATTAAGTTTATTTACTTCTCACTCCACTACATTTCAATCCTGCTTCTCACTCCACTACTTTCTGCAGCTTGTACTGTTACTTTTTAGTGAGAAGTGGGGGAAAAAAAGCAGGATTTTCTAAAATATCCAGCAGAATATGATGTGCACTCAAAATGAAGTAAACCCATAGGGCATCTTTCACTAAACCACTGCCTTAAATACCAATCATCCAATCCTTGTTTGGTAACTGTAACTAGGCCTGGGCACCTCAAACTTTCAGGATTTTAAAGAAATGTAACTTTTTGTGGGGTATTTTTAAATGGAAAACCCTGTGATATTCTAAGAGTTTGGAGGGGGAAGTGAAAGTCATGAAACAGTAATAATGAAACCTGTTTCTGATTAATGAAACTAAATTTAGTTTTAAACAAACAGTAAAGTTTGCCTATAACTCTTTATATAACCTCTAATTTTAAAACAGTTAAAAGTATCGTTAAAGGCAAGTACTTTAAAGCAAGAATGTGTAGAATGTATAAAAAATGTGTAGAGAACTTTTAAGCTACTTATCAAGTTTTAAAAAGGGTATTTCTACTTTTATTCAAGTGCTGGATTTGTGTAAATCATGCATCATGATTTAAAATTAATGCATCATACGATGCAAATTTTACCTTTCTCATCTGTGGTGTAGCTAGGAGAGTGGCCTCGGTCCTGCAACTGCTGGCGAAGCTTCATCACGCTGTGGTTAGCTACAAAGCCCTCGCTGCAAACGCACACAGATGCAAACTTATCTCCCCAGAAGTAATGATTCTGAATGATTGAATGATTCTGATGTTTCTTTCTTAGTCTCTCTCCCTCATAATGGAATATGAGTAAGTAAATGTACAAGTGTTTAAACATGTATTATGGATTTAAAATGTGATCTGCACAAAATTTACCTGCGCAGAGGACACACAATGTCCCTCCGAAGAGTTCTCTGGATGGATTCTTCATTCTGCTTAGTGCCTTTAAATAGCAAAGAATCCAGTACTGATGAACAGGAAAACAGACTAGAAGAGAGAAAGAGGTTGCAAATAGTAAAGACCAGTACAGAGCTTCCTAAGTACAGATATTGGACATCTAATTGGGTTATTCACTCAGGGCTTTCAGCAAATAGTGTTTAACAGGCCCATATTATGGCAAACCAAATTCTTCTTGCTTTTCTTTAAATAACTGGTTTGATGTAGTACGTAAACATTGTCAAAGCTTCAAAACATATTGTTCAGTCCCCAGTCCTTTTTTCAAAAACTAAGTTGCAAAAACAACAATTCTTCCTTTTTTATGATGTCACAAAAACCAACCTATTTACATATATCCATCTATTTTGACCCCACCCATTAATCTAGTAGTTTCAGTCCAGACTGCTTTTTTGAATTAATACCTTTTAGAAGGGCCAATAACATGGAAAACTGAGGTACAGTGGCTTTTCTTAAAATCAAATTTAATGTATTATATAAGCACTGTCAAATCTTCAACACTCCGCACCGCCAAGTTCATACTTGCCAAGTTTAAGACGTAAAAACAGCGCATTTGACATATATTCATTATGATTATAAATTAATTAATAATCATTCACTAATTTTGTGATGTCGAGAAAATTGACAAATTTACATATTTCTGCCTACTCAGGCTAGAAGTTTAGCCTCGCCAATTCAGGCCAAAAGTAAACGCCTCCACCGCTTTTATGAGAGGCATGATACAGTGCAGCAAATACAGTGCAGTATATCAGTCTTTAAAGGCAAAGTAACAAAGACAAAGGGAGAAAGAGAGGTTGTAAAAAGTAAAAACATTTTGCTTTTTACAATTTTGGCACACAAATGTTAGAAGTTGATCTCAGTGAAAAAATAAAATACACTGAATATATAGGGTGTTGACTATTTTAAATTAATGCACTGGGTATTTGTGCAATAAAATGCAAGTCTATGATCTCATGCATCAAGACTAGTGTATTGAAAATTGGGCTGAATATTGGGGAAAATGCACACAGTAAAAATCAAATGAGTCAAAAATTCACCCATGTATACTATTCTCTCCAATTTTCTCTGTATGAATGGAAATTGTGTGTTTAAAGGGGAATTAAAGCATTCCCTGTAGATCAATATTATTTTTAACTAAATATCAGGTTCCATTAATAGGGCTGCATGACACATAAAACATATATTGGGATTATACTGCCACATATTGAAATTGCTGTATGTCTAGTAATATATTAAAACATTCTGCTGAACTGCTACGATTAAACACTGGCCTGCATTATTTTACATTACCAAGTGCAAATGTTTTGATTTATACACTCACAGAAACTCATCTGGAATATCTGGGGTTGGTCTCAATGCTTACAGTGCAAAAGAAAACGTTTGTTAATTTGTTAAAGGGCTAATTTGCAGCCTTCTGTGGTGTTGAGTAAACAAAGGCCAAGATCACAATAATGATTAAAAAATGATACAGAATGCAGCCCTAAAATAAGATAAAATATGAAAACTAGAAAATTTGTCTGAAGATGAGTTCGAACCTGAAAAGGGCAGAGTCCATGTAGCAGGAGTTACAGTGACCCTGGATACCCTTCATCCTTCCAGTCAGAACCTTTAGCACATCCTCAGATCTAACAGGTGGAACACTGTCCTGCATAGCTGATCCACCCAGCCCATCATGATCTGTAATATAAACACAGGTACACAAAACATCTCTATTACACATAGTATTGCTTATTTAATAAAACTGTATAAGAAAAAAACCTACCAAAATGTCCATTTGATGCCTTGTCACCCAGAAAACGGGCATCAGGCCGGCAAGAGGTGATCTTCACAAACAGGCCACGTTTTGGTGGACATGTGAAAAAGCGATGATTTTTGAATGTACCATCATTTACCCCACAATCCTCTTCCTTAAACAGAGAAAAGTGACAGCACTTTGTCAAGAAAGTATAAGAACTAAGGAGTAAGATCAGTGAAAAATAAACTGTTTGGTACTTTTTTTAAAAAATTAACCCAGGGGATTTCCCAAAATCAACATTTCCCAGAGTTAACAGAAGAGGTCAGTATTGTTCAGTACCAGTTCCAGCCCAGCCATGAGTTCAGGCTTTCCCGGGAGATGGCCTATCCAGCGGACAGTTCCATAGGCGGGTCCTTTGCCCAGATCCACCTCCACCATGGAATTCATGCTTATGTCGGCATTACCACCCAAAGACTTGACTATTTCTGGACTTTCTGAAGTGTCCATTTTTTCTGTTTCATCTTTAGATAAAATATAAACATTACAAACCAGGAGCTGGTAAAGCTGTTTAATTCATGTTTACACTGTATTCGTTTTAATTGTAATACAACAGACACAACGTATGGTGCATTAACTGCAGAGGTCTTTAAAATCATCAAAATAGATTTTTTGAATTTTAAGAAATTCCAGCCTAATCATAAATTAAATCATTTAAAAACAGCTTGTAGCTACAGGTGTCACTCACCTTTGTTTAAATCGTCCTCTTTAAAAACATACTTCAAGGAGACTATTGTCTCCCCTCCGTCCCTCCCATTTTCATCCCTTTCCTGTCGAGACACAGTAACCAAGCTTGAGATTTAACCCTAAAACTGCTCTCAATTTTCCTCCTGTTTTCTGAAGGATAAGAGAAGGAGGCTTAGTGACTTACTGTTGAGATGAGAACCATGCTTTTTTCCTCATCTAGCTCCACAACCATGCCATGGCGACGTTCACTACCAATAAAATAAACTACACGATCTCCAACAGAGAACTTCTCTGCGCTCTCAGGTAGGCCAGACTGAGTTGCATGAGAAAAGCCTGATGGTTTGGTATGTACTGGATTGATTCTGTTAAAGGGGGCAAAAATACCACAATTCTTCTGACATGTAAAATAGGTTTTGAACTGGTATGTTCCATCATTCCGACCTCGCCCCTTGTCTTCTCCCTAAGAAAGGCATTGCAATACTTCAGTAAATTACTCTCGTCATGAAATACTTCACTCATGCACACATAGAACAAACTAACACCCCACCTGTAGCTCAACTCCGAAAAATACACCTCCTATGGGATCTATTATAGGTTCTCTGAGCCTGCCAATGTATCTAACAACTCCTTTGAGCCACTCTCCGTTATACTCCACTCTGACTTCAGAACCTTTAACCAAGACCTCTGCCTGGCCTAAATTCTTTGACTGTGTAAATTCCTCCAGTCTCTCTTTGTGTGTATCAAGAGCCAGCAGAAACTCTGCCTGTTGTTGTGTCAGTGGCTCTAGCACTTCAAATGGCAGGTCACGATCCAATGTAGAACCTATAAGTATCACAGGTAAGGTGTCCCTCTTCAGCCTCTTTGGTTGTGAATATCGATCCTCATTTATGTAACAAATCTGGCCTGCTCTGATACTTCCATGCGAGGCAGGCGTTTCAGTAATCATGAAATAAAGGTTCTTGCTCTTGGGGGCCATTGGTAGAAGCTGATACCTGTAAGAATAAAAACAACTTCTTTAATATGGACGTATACATTGCAGCTGGGCCACATTCTTTTGTTTCCTCTTTCAGCTTACTGCCAGTGTTTGGGAACATGAGCACGGAAGAAAGTGAAAGTATAAAACGGACAAGAGACGTAACGACTATTTGGAACCTGTTAAAGTTATACGGTAAAAGGTACAGTTTGGTAAGCCATTAATAACACATTTAGAGGGAACAGTAAAAAAAAGAAAACACAAATGTCTCACTTTACAGCGCCATACAAGCTCCCAGCTTACTTTCGTTTCGTTGCTCAAATCGTAGGTGTCTTCAAAGAGCCGAGATCTGCGAGATTAAAACTGTCGTATATGACTACATTACAAGTCATTTTTTCAGAACAGCAGAGATTAGAAGAAAACCTACAGGACCCGCGAATATCATGAAAATCTTCTAAAGGAATTTCAGTCCTATTTTCAGCTGATTACTCCAACGAGTTGCGGTCGAATGCCGTGTATGAAGACGGCGGAGCTCTCTGAAATGCAACAATATGTGATATTTATACCATACCGCACACTGTCTGGTTGGGACGAGCTTATGTAGATCATCTTTCCAGCGAGGTGGCGTCATCAGCACGGGCCTTGGGCGCGTTTTGATTACGACTGTGTTTTGGATCTAAACATGGCAGAACGCGAAGCTTTGCAAAGAGAAATCGAGCAGCTTCAAAGTAAGTGGATTCATGTAAGGTAGCTGCTCACAACTTCGCTCTACCTCTGTTTTATGTGTTGTTTGGCTGTCATCAACCCTGTAGACTCACTTTTCCAAATCGACACCGTATATTTACCCTTTTCTTCAGTCTCATCTGTGGTTACGCTTTTATCGTATCGGTTACGTATCCTCTTATAAGCCACTTTTTAAGCTAGCTAGTTAGTTAACCTAGCTAACTAACTTATTTTTATGAGCATGTCTAGTAAAACCTTTACAGAGATTGTCATGAGGATCTTCAGACTTTTGTCGTGCTGGAGATTATATTTCACCATGTTTTCAGAAACACGACTAGGCATTTGACTCTAACGGTTACGCTATATGTGCAAGGAGAACACCCCGTTGTTAAATTCGGATTGAGTTTTGGTCAGTCAGTATCTTGATATGGAATTTATTTACTCTTCTTATTATTATGGGATGTTTAGTGTGGGGAATGTAACAATCCGTCGCGTCAGACATGTAGATGTGTTAACTACTGTGTGTCCAGGTTTCTCTCTCTTTGGGTTAATATAAGAACTAAAACCGTGTCCTCTAGTGAAAAGGAACTGAAACGAGGCGAGAAAGCAAATATGTAACGATATTTTAAGAGGTTTTCATACAGAGTGCCTAAGGCAGAGATGTCCAAACTTTTATCAGCGGGAACCAGAATGGACCCTATCAAAATACCTGAGGGCCAGTCATTCTTTGCCAAAATAGTACACATAAATTATTTGAAATATTATGTATTATTCATAATATGATAAAACAAACATACAGAACAAAATAGAACAAATAATATTTATTGTACAAACTACTGTATTTTTTCTGATAAAAAGCTGCTTTAGTTTTTTTTCTTCTTATCCCTTGAATATTTATTATAATATCCATGCTAGGTTTCATATATATTTTTTCAATATTAAATTTGTTACACTCTCTTGACATATGAGGCACACATTTGTTATGGCTCTTGATAAAAAAAAAAGTATTCAGTCGATCGAATCTGCAGGTTGTCACTGTCAGCTGCACTGTCTGTGTGTAGTCATGACTAAATGTCATTCAGTAATTAATTTGCAGGTTAATTGTAAATGAATTGTGGGTTTACAGTGCTGCTGCCACCTTCAGTTGAAAGAAACACTTGCAATTTATAGGCCAGAAGGCCGATTAAAATCAATCCACGGGCCACATTTGGCCCTGGGGATGGGCTTTGGACAACCCTGGCCTAAGGTAACATGGTGATTATTCTTAATAAGGCATGGCCATTAGTTATTATACTGAGGCCACAATTTACTACATTGAGGCCACAGATTAAGAGAAACTTAACCTGTAGCCTCAGTATACTAATTAGTGGCTTCGTATTTTCATGATATGCAACATATTTATTTTTTCTGGAGTCTGATAAGTTGGAACAGAAGAAAAAGGCCCCAGTATTGCCACTTTTAAAAAATACTGTCAGAAATTTCGAGGAGTTTGATACAGTATCTATCACAATATTTATTTTTTCTAAAAGTTGATAAGTTGGAACAGAACAAACTTTTATTCAAGATAAAGTTAAAGGATGCTAATTATGCCGTCTAGGTTGGTCATGTTGGTAAGCCAGCTTGGTAAAGCTGGTAGACCAGCTTAACCACCAAACTAAGGGGACAACATACTTTAAGATGTACCAGCTTGAGTTGGTTAAGCTGGTAGACCATCACCAAAAGAGCAAAAACATACTTTTATGATGGTCTACTAGCTGAATATCTTGAGTTGGCCAAGGTTTGTTCAGCAGGACAGTCTGTTACTCATTACCAGTAGAATCAATACATAATTCTTGTTTAGATTCAGTGGGGCTAATTTTCCTGGTGTTCAGTGTCCAACTGGAAATTTAGAAAATTAGTCGATAGTATATTGCCTGCCATTGTGTTCTGTGCTCGCTGCCATGAATGTGCACTTGTTCCCAGAAACCTAGTTAGGCCAGCTAGCTAGCAACCCAACAGTTGTGAGCATGTTATTTTTTATGCTTCATTGAATTTGTTCTTTGTTCTGTATATAAGTTTAAATATTTTTTTTCTGGTTGGTTTTTCTAATATCGATTTTGTCAAGTCACTTTGTATCTCTTAGTTGTCTCTCACAGTCAGGATAATTAGCCCTCACATGGATTTCCAATTCATATTGAAACGTAAAATAGTAGAAGCTGAGTATTTCATGGCAGAATTAATTGCATCTTAACTGAACTGTGGTTAAATTGAACCTACAGGCTTAGTCTCTTTTAAATAGAGCATAAACCTGATAGTGAGAGATGTTATTTTTATTTGTCATCTAAATATCCATCATATAACACTCATATTCTGTTCTTGCAGACCTTATTAAGGACCACAAGAGAGTTCATGGTGATGCCCCGTCAAGCTCAGCTCCGTGGTTTTCTTCAAAACATAGGCTGGCTAGAGGTCGAGGGCACAACCCACATTACATTCACTCGTACTCAGGTGAGCACCAGCCTTATGCACCTCATCCTACCAGTCATTGGAGGAAAACCTACTCTCTCAGCAACAAGACCACCAGAGCTCCTGGAAGAGGACCCTCTCAGTTTTCTGAGCCTTATCTGAACAAGACTCAGCATATCAGTTCTGAACCCTCTATTGCTGGCTCACTTGTTGGCAGTAAGGTTTTACTCAAGGGGGCGACACGGGCTGTTAAGGGCAGCGCAGCACCTTTACAGAATATAACTGGAAAGGAATCATTAGTGTCTGATGACAGTGTTCCAGCCACCAGTGCAAATAGGACAGTAGTAAGACCAACAAGGACTAAGACTGAAATTGGAATCAAGTCAAATGCAGACCTTGCAGGGTCTTCTTCATTAACTGATAGTCAACAGAGTAAACCTGAAATGAAGACAGGTTTAAATGCCACATCGAAAAATGCATCAGATATGAGTTGCAACACAGCTACCTCATTTGTTCCCTTCATCTGAGGAGACTCGTGCCTTTAATAAAAAGAATACTTTAGCCCAACTGCAAGCAAAATCACACCTCACCAGCAGCATTTCATCCAATAGGACTGTGATAATGGCAACAGCCTCTAAAGACTTTTCTTCAGGCCAGACAGTCCCTCCTAGGGCATGTTCTAGTCCTGCATTAAACCTTAAGCTTAAATCAGACTCAACAGCACGGGTGCATACGGTTTCCTCTCCCCATAAAAGATCACAGTTTACCTGGGTGAAGAGTCAAGGGACTAAGAACAGCCAGCCCTCTCCAACCTCAGCTTCAGTTTCCACTGCTACTGCTGTGGTGGCCAGCATCAAGCCAGTTCATGGTTCTAACAAGAAGATACAGCGCAAGCCTAGTCTTTCCTCAGGCCCTACTAAGACTTCAAAGTACTCTTGGGTATCATCCTCCTGCTCTACTACAGCAGCTGGCAAAGTAACCCCATCCAAACTGCCAAACAAGCAACTTTCTCCCAAAGCTCTTAAGGTGCCTGGAAAAGCAACAAAGGAGGTACTAGACGGGACCAAAAAACTCGCTTGTACCCCTTCTACACCATCAAAGCGGACTAAAGTTAGTGGAGGTACTTCCACACCTCAAGTCAGCCATGCTAATCGTTATTGTTGGAAGGCCACTGCACAGAGCTCTTCCACGGTTGCGAGTGGGTCCACCCCAAGGTCTTCCCGAAAGGGATCTTTATATCGATGGACTGCTCAGAAAGAGGGAAAAGATTCAGGCCTTGGACCGCATCCATCACGAGCCCAGCAAAACCCTTCCAGCACTCATCTTTCCAATAGTGCATTCAAGCTAAGGAGCAGAACCAAGATCATTAGGAGGTATAGCAACAGGTAGGAATTATAATGAATACTTTTGTCTCTTTACTTGTTTAATACTACTAAACTGATGTATATCACAGTCCTTTGTCCTGATCAAATGAATGTTGGTTATGAGGATGTAACAGCATAAAGCTGTGTGCTGTCACTTTCAGAACTGAAAGTTAGAAGGAGTCTTTGACTGCTCTCTAATGTTCTTTGTTTGCTGGAAACTGTTATAACATTGTTGACACTTTGCTTATGACATTTGCTTTTGTTGTATGTAGTGTAATTTGTAAAATATGACTTAAATTTTATGTGAGTTTATAAGTGTTCTGTTACATTTTAAGTCACATTGCTGAGAAAAAGAAACACACTACCTGTGCATCGCTTCCTGTAACTGCTGAAATAATCATAATTATAAGTCAGTTTTTGCAGGAGTTTTTTGAATCATGCCTTGCGTGTTTCTTTCTCTATGTATAAATGTTACACGCACAAGTTCAAAGAGAAGGTTCAGCTCGATGTTTAGGTCTCAAATGCAAAATCAACAGTATAATCAACAATAGTAGATAATTCACTTACGTCCTCTGAAGACACGTCTTCACCAAGTTTTGTCTGAATTCTCTTTTGAATGCCCTTTCTATGCATGGGCAATCATCACATTCACCCGCTCGGGGAAGGGGTCCGAAGCACAACCAGTGTTACAAAACGTTCTTCTCCACGTTTTTGCCAAAACTGAACTGGTGTGGTTTTAGGGTTTTTTTTTTTACAGGGCCTGTTACGTGTAGCATGCTTGTTTGCTTTTGATATATTGACCAATATTGATCACCCATTTTTTGGTGAGTAACCTTGGGCTTATAATTGACATTATCAAATATTAACATAATTTTAAAGAAGTGCAAGTAGTATGCATGTTATTATTCTTTTCTTCTCTTGATTTTTTATTTTTTTTTTATTCCATTGCTTTAGTATCATTCTAGTAGTAGTATCATAACTAATTCACTACACACATGGACACCTCTTGAAAAGATTATAATGTAGATTTTCTGGCAAAGAAAGCTGTGGAACATGCAGATGAAACAAATAAATTTCGGTACATGAGCTCTGCTCTCCAGTGGAGAGTGAAATAAATGAGCTTGTCTAGAAAAGGGTGTGGGTACGGCAGTTTGTCATTATTGTACTTTCCACCCAAACAAACAAGAAGAACCACTGGATGTTATAAAGTTGCTTGAAAACTAGCCAAAGAGAGATGGAGGTAACCTCCAAAGCATAAGGGGGGAGGAGTGTGTGATAAAAAAAAAACAGACAGTAACTTAAACAAGATGCAAGTAAATAAAAAAATTAAAGTACACAAATCATTTGGAAATCAGAGTGCGGAACCACAGGGCCAAAGTGCAGAAGGGGTAAGTTAGCCAGCTTATTTAGTCTACTTGTACGCGAAGGTTACAGATGGCTAGCTCAGTGTTAATGTTCTATCACACACTGACTAATATTTCCATGTTCAACTTCAGTAAGTGTTCATTTTAACTTAGCTACATATGCACAAAAGTCAGCTGGGTTATGGTAATAGTCACTGGCAGCAGACAAACAAAACAGAAAATTTACAATGGGCTACTACATCCTAGTTCTTTGCATCAATGACACTTTTGTTTTCTGGTCTAAGTTATCAAGCCTCCGAAAAACTAAATATTGAGACTAAAATATCATCATATTGCCCAGCTCCAGTTAAAATAGCAAAAACATGTAAAATGCATCCAGGCTTCAGCTTGAATGAATGAAAATAATGTCAATGTAGAGAATTGATAAAAGAAGTGTAATAGGAGGTTATTGACAGAAAAAAAAACTGTTTTCCTAAAAGAAAATATTTATCTCTGAGAATAGTGCAAATTGGATGAATATGACTGCATGGAAAAAATAACCTGTTATTACTTAGTTACCCTGGTTTACAGTGTTAACCATGTTTACATTCTAAGGCCACAAAATCTGAAGCTGGCTCAACTGCAAGCAGGGCCACAAGATGGCAGCAGACCAAAACCTATCAGGTATTAATCTGCATTTCAGTGAATTCAGCCTTGAGTAGACTGTCTCACTTAGGATCATAATATGCAATACTGTGCCCAAACTCAGTCTTACAAACAGACTTTTCTCTATTCTCAGTAGTCCTGCTCCAGAGAGGAGACCCAGTCTCTGTGTGGTGACTTTGAGGAGTCGGTACTCATTGAGGAGGAAGACACACACTTCTGTCAGGACTCCGACTTGTGCCAAACGAGGCCAGTCCAGAGCTCTCGTCTCCTTCGGCAGACACAAGCTGCGGCGCCTCTCCTCCTCCACCCCCACCACTTCTGCATGGACCTTGAGAACAGGTAGGTCTGTTATAACTCAGGGAAATAAGCACACCAATAGCTGAAGTGAGTAGAAGTAACAGGCCAATAGTAAAATTAATTCACTAAATGAGCAAGTTTTTTTGCTGCCTTCAGGGATTTCACTGAGAAACCAACAGACCTTAGTCAAACGCTCATTAATTCAAGAATATCAAACATTTGTTTAAATTGTTTACGTCAGTTAATTCACCATATTGTGTTGACCTGAAAAATGATTATGGCCCCCTGTGCTCAACCTAATATTGATACCACTGGAAATAAAGAGAAAAATCCAGATCAGTTGCACACAATTTACATTTTGCTAAGGTTTTTTTTCTTTTTCCAAATCTCTGTCCACATTTCAATAGTAATTTTATTCATCACCCTGCTCTGAACTGAACATAGGCCGCTCTGTATCACATACTCTACACAAGAGACTATGGGGTTTACAATCAAATAATCATTACTAGAATTAACAGGAGATAAAAAATATGTATTATAAATCTGTTTATTTCTGTTTAAAACAAAAACAGTTAAGTTAATGAGTTAATTAACAGCATGCTCTGCTGAGGTATGTCATTAGTTTTATTAATTTCCCACACAAAAGCTGTCCGGCTGGACAAAAAAGGCCTGATGGGCCACGATGGCCTGTTTGGATATGATGCTAATGCAAGCTAAAGGTCTTCTTATGCATGAATGTTTGAGCCTGCATAATCATTCTTCCCTTGGCATCTTTACCTAATTGAACAAATTCAGGCTCAAAAGAGGTGGTTCTAATGTATGTACCTTTTAAAGATTTTACATTTTAAGCTTTCAAAATATCGTAGGCATGTCAATAAATAATCGTAAGTGGGCATGTCATTAAATAATCCGCTCATAAATAACATGAAAGGACTGTGATTTTTTTGGGAAAGAAAATTGGAATATGTTTCTTCTTGCTTCTTTTTGTCGGACATGTAACATTACTATAGTATTGCTTTGGCAGTCCTCAGCATTTTGATGTTCTGCACATGCAGGTGGTTGTCCAACATACCCTGGCACAGGCCCAGATCCAGAATCTGTTTTGCTTCTTTCAGTCTCCTGGTAATTCGACGCTTCACCACGAATACAGTTTGACTGACTTGAATGATTTTAGAATGACCTTATTTATGTATTTTCTCGAAGGAGCACTTGCTACTCAAAGACATTTGTTTCTATAGTAAACGAAGCATTTCTGCTTTAGTTTTAATTCAGGCTTTTCCAGTCGTCATCACAGAGTAATTCTTCACTACATATTTCAGTGGTTTCCCAGCTGATGAGTTTAGTCAGGTGTTTTGAGAATAGAGAAGACTCTGAACTCTGCAGTGCATGAGAACTCCAGGTCCAGAACTGTTTGTACACAAGACACAAAAAGGTTGATGATGAAATGGCAGACAGAAACATTTTGTTCTCTGTGTCTGAACATATTAGAGAGATCTGTCCTGGAAAACCAATAGATATACACACTGTTCCGACGCCCTCTGTGACTAATTGGCGTAATGAGCAATTAGCGCAAAACAGTCTGGAAAAGTAATTAATTGTTTGTGTCCCATATGTTAACATGGGAACGTGAGGGTGTGGCCTGCCTTGGGTATATGCATTTGTTATTTGGTCTCTTAGGTCACGTCATGAATTATGACATTAATTTTGTGCTGATTTTAAAATAATCGCTGAAGAAAACTGATTTTCCTTAATGATCAATCTACACTGTGCTTGGAAATAGACAACTTTTATTGACTTGTACCAAGACTTGTCCAGTAGAGGTCAGCATTCCTCCATTACCTGTAGTTATATAGCTCTCGTGCTGGTCGGAGTGTGAGGGTGCTGGCCTGGGGGCAGTGGTGGAGGGGGATTAATTAATTGTCCACTCCGGCCGTGATGGTGTACATGTGCCGATAGTGGGTAATTTGCAGCAATGGTGCGCTGAATGTAGCTACGCTATCAAGCCCTGCCAGCTCTCGCACTCAGTAGATAAAAAGGAGCTAATGCATAATTATCCTTTTGCAAATTGGATTGTTTTAACGAACTGGAGAATATAGGCCTGACTTGATTTAAAGCAATCACTGTTTTTACAGCCCACTCCCTCCTCCCATAGATAGTGAGCAAGCAAGGCGGCCCATCTCGCGGTAATCGCCTGCAGTCTGTTTGACTGCACTTTACACACTCTGACTTGCCACTAAAGGGGCTTCATCTTCCTTTTTCAGACCAATCTGGCTCTTTCTCTTTCAGTCTCTCTTTTAAAACAGGGCTGCGTTATTTTATTCTTATTTGTCTGGTTTATGGTTCCTCAGAGGGGGGAAAAAAAGGAGGTGAATGAGAGGGTAGAGTGAAGGAGTGTGTGAATGACTAAAGGGAGATAGAGGAGGAGAGGGAGTTGGGGGGAGAGTCATATGGACTAGCCAGGGGGACTCTGTGCAGAAGATAAGAGCGGCTAATAAAGACCAAATTGAATTACTAATGACTAGAAAGAGGGCAGCCGTGTTAAAAATGGCGACTAACCGCTTCTCGTCACCGCCACGATCACCGCTGCGTGACATCTCTTAATTTTCTCTCTGATGACTCCCCTCTTCGTCCCCCCACCCCCTCACTCATCTCTCGGCCTTCCTCCCTCTCTGTCCCTGTTTACTGTGGCTAGTTGGTTATCTGGAGGGGGATTTAAAGGGGCATAAACCTAAGTGAGCAGTTAGTGGCGTAATGAATCGCGGGCGAGAGAGAAGTGCCTCGATAATCCCATAAAGTGAATAAACGACAGAAGAGTGCAATAGAGTGGAGATGAGGAGAGGAGAAGGGAGGGACGAGAGCAGAAATGAAGGGGCCTCAAGCCTAGCGACAGACGTTTGGCCCCACAATAGATGCTGCACACACAAAGGAGACCATCTGGGTACTGAGATGAAGCTTATACACTATACACCTTTATTTCCTCATGCAGTGATTTTTACACCCAGCAATTCTGTTTTTGGCTTTGGTCATTTTAGCACTCCATTGTGTTTGTTGTGTTTCCAGTGTTTGCCTAATAACATGTTTACTAAGGCTGGCAAAACTATAACATCACAATACTTGAAGATGTTGTCACAATACATAGTACACTCAGAGAATTGCTAAAAATATGGTAGTGACATAATAGGCAGACATCCAGTCACCTACTTGTTACAGTGCAGTGTTTCCTACAGTTACAGAGACTCTGCCCTGCTGCCCAGTACTCTGTGTGCACTGCCCTTTGGTATATAGTGCAGTTATGTTACAGTTTTTATCTGCTGTCTTCGTTGGACGATTGTTGTTGTTTTTGACAGTTTAGATTTCTGAGTCTTATTGGCTCTGGTAAGTTGTGCTTCAGCTTTGCTTTATTTGGAATGATGAAAAATGCATCTGTTTGCACTCTGGCAGGGGAACAGTGAATCGAAGAGTTTTATGACTGACAGGAGAAAATTAGTTTGGTTGGTTCTGTGTTTGACAGTCTGTCAGCAGCTAACCCAGTGTATAAAACCATAATGACTGGCAAAAGGGGTTAAACACATGTCAAAAACGAAGACCCAAACTAGACACGAACACTGTATTTTAGTTTAATAACCTGGTGACATGACCAAAATACAATTCACTAATATACATAGCCATTTCTTCTGACTGAATTTCATGTTTTCATGAAGATCCTGACTCTTACCTAAGAACAGAATCTATGCACCCTTGAGCACAAAGTTGTGAACAGTTCTGTGTTTTAACAACACATCATGAATCTGACATAGGCTTTTCCTTAGGACCTTTCCTAAGAACAAGTTTAAGAGAAACCTAGAAAGATATTGTGAATGAGGCCCATTGCTGTTTGATAATGTTTTTTAAAATGTGTTGAAAAATGCTTGAGCAGGTGTCCATATACCTGTGTGCACCGTCACAGTATAACGTGTGGGAAACATTTCTATATAGTTTGTGCAGTTGCTATGCACTGTCAGCTGCTGCAGTTATTCATTGTTGTAGACAACACCTATAATAAGTTCAGAAAAGCTTATTGTCATGTTATTTATCATGTTGTCTTCCCATATTATCTACATGTATATTCTCTTGCCTCTTTAGTATTTTGGTAATGTGTACCAGTGATATGAAGCTCGAAACACTTCAAGCACTCTTATTTTTGCCAGACCACTTTGCATTAGGATTGCTGTGTGTGTATGTGGATATATACATGAATGTATGTATGTATGTATGTATGTATGTATCTATGTATGTTTGCAGGTTATCATGTGTGCAGGAGCTTAGCCTCAGGGAGTGATACCATGGCTTTATTTGGTAAGATGTGTGTAGAGTGCCCCCCCCAACCTCTACTGTCCCATCTTATACACACGCACACACACACACACACACACACACAGAGGTCAAGTCAGGTCAGAGTTTTATTACCCTTTCTGCTGTCAGTAGGTGTGTGTGTGTGTGTGTGTGTGTGTGTAAATCACGGCTGTGTGTGTCTGTGAGCTCACAAATATATACACACAGGACATAAATGTTGACCAGCTTGGGTAGCTCTTGAGGGTGAGCAATGTGATTGTGTAAATTACATCACAATATGCTTTTCTGAGAGTACTGTGGATATCATCAGTGCCTAGAGAACACTGTTCAGCTGTATATTTTCACTACAAAGAGAGCATAATTGGATTTAGTGTGGTCCAATGTATAAAACATTGTATTATTGTATGTATTCTTAGTTTTTATAGTAATTTTTTAAAACACAACATTACTGGTTGCTTTGTGTCTATTCCTTCAAACTTCTAACTCAGATGGTGTTTCGTGAAAATATCTTCAAGTATTGTGATCTATTTTTGCTGTATCGCCCACCCCTAGTAGCTCTCCTCTAAAGCACACTTATTACCTCATGGAATCGTGTTACCCCTTGCACCTCCACCCGTGCCTCTCTACAGGGGTCCTATTGCAGCACTGTCATTGATATAATCATTTATTTACCCATAAATCAGTCCCCTGCCATCTCAACGCTCCAATTT